AGATTTATGACTGGGGGACCCAAAATCTTGGCTGAAAATCTTGACTGAGATAATGTCTACTAAAATGTCTACTTGTATATTCTACAAGAAGTTACGCTACTTGTATATTCTACAAGAAGTTACACTCAAAATGTGATTTTTCCCGTTGACATCCACTCTAAGTTTGGTTTTTCCCGTTGACATCCACTCTAAGTTGGTTAGGTATTCCTTGGCAATATTTGTTTGGCAGATTAAACTAGATGGGATTGTTAGTGAATGAATAATTAATGAAGAATTGTTAAAGTAAAAATTGTTAATGAGGAAATTAAGTAAAAGTATGTTTATTTTGATGATAATGTGGGCGATGATTAGTGATAGGATTGCTAAATTACTTTTATATAAAATAAACAAAAAAAATTATTTATATATTAAAAAAATAAAATAAATAGGTGCAATTGGTAATTAAAAATAAATAAATAAAATTGGCCGGCCAGCTTTTTTTTGGCTGGCTGGCTGGTTGTTTTGTTAAAAAAAATAAAAAAATACACTGTTCCGGACGATTGGGCAGACGATCAAATAGACTCAATCTGCTTACTATTTTTCTAATCTCACCATCTACCTAGCCAAGTTAATTCTTCTACTGAGGGGGATTACTAAAGCCTTTGAATTATTAATCCACCCTCCCATTTTACTACCAAACACGTTGTGGGTGAGATTTAGAATCATGATAGTCTAATCTGGCCACTTAAGCCGCGAAACAAACATGACATTTGTATTCATAATTTTATATTTTGCTGTATTTAATACATTTTTTACTGCGCACTCAAAATTAATGTTTCAATGTATTCAAAACATTTCCGACGGCATTGATGTTAGGAGAATTTTGAGGAATATTAGAGTGATGGGGAGTGCATTATTAGATTATACGGAAAGAGGGCATAAAGAATTTACGGCAAATTAAATTCTTAATTCATATAATTTATCTTTTGTATCAATTAATAGTAAATCTGTGCTATGCACAGAATATAAAAAAATTAATAATATATTTTTACATAAGGGTGCACTACAAGAATTTACACATTTGCCGACCATTTTTGCCGACCAAAATGAGTTAGTCGCAGAAGGTTACATTTTGGCGACCAAAAATGAGTTAGTCGCAGAAATTGGTATGCTTTTGGCGACCAACTTCAAATTTGGTCGCGGAAGGTTACATTTTGGCGACAAAAAAAATTTAGTCGCCAAATTTGTACTTTTAGCGACTAATATTTTAGTCGCTGTTGATTAAGATTTAGCGACTAAAAAAATTTGGTGCCGAAGGTATCTTTTTTGCGACTAATATGGTGTTTTGGTCGCCAAAAGTGTTTGAGAGGGAAATTTCAAACAGGGAGGGGGGAAATGAAATTTTTTGGCGACAAAAAAAATTTGGTCGCCAAAGTAAAAACGACGTCGTTTTGTACCTGGAAAACAAAAAAAAAATTAAAAAAATGCCCTGATCTCCTCTTTGTCTCCAACTCTCCCTCTGTGTATGTTCATCCGCTCTCTCCCTCTCTCTGTGTTCTCTCTCTCAATCAGTGCCCACTCTCTCGCTCACCGAAGTCCCTCACCACCGTTGCTCACGTCCGTCGCATATCGCCACCGCCGTAAATCGCCATCGCCAACTGTCTTTCTCTCACACAGATCCTCAGACCACACTCGACCGACGACCACACTGATCTCTCGTTGATCCTCATATCCTCAGACCACACTCGCCATCGCCCTCTGTTTCTCTCTCTCTCTCTCTCTATTCGGTCTCTTCTATGTGTCTCTGTCTTCTTGTCTCCCTCTGTGATTTGGGTTCAGGTGAGTGTTTGTCGCCTCTAAATCTGCAGAGGCAGAATGGTATCTGCAGAGGCAGCTCTTTGGCCCCTAAATCTCGCAAGGGCTTTCCGTCTCCCATCTCTCTGACAAAGAAAAACGAGTCGGTTGTGCAGACCCCCTTCGATCCTGGTACTCTCTCTCTATAATCTATCTATCTGTATATGTGATTGATTAGATCATATCTCTGTGTGAGTTAAATTACTCTTCCTCTGCCCTTTGTGTGCTGTGTTCATGTAATTCAGATTTAAAATCAAATTTGAAGAACTCTAATGGAAATTGTGTGTAGTGGGTATTTTGATTTGAAGCAATAGAACTCCAATTGAGTTACAAATTGAAAAGAATTCGATGGAAATTTGATATTCCCATAACTAAATTAACTAGGATGGGGCTCTTCCAAAAAAATTATCAATATAGTCTTTAGCATTTTCATTTTCTGAGGCATCCAACCACAAAAATCCCCTATTTGGGGAGCTACAGCCTATATGGATCTGTTTAAATCAATTTATTCAATTTATACTCACCCGTGTATGTGTTCTCATCTTCTGTTGTTGTACTTCTGCTTCGTAGTCACTTCACACCATTAGGTTAGGTGTTCTAAATTGCTTGTTATCAGTTTGAAACATTCTAATTTTTCCCTTCAATTTGCCAAGCATCTGGTTGGCAATTTTGACCTTTTCATTTAAATCCCCTCCTCTTACGGACTACTTTTCTCTCAAAGGACAAATGATATGTTCGTACTTGGTGGTAATATGGACGATTAATTTATATACTTGGGCGATTCCCTTCAATATTTACATGATGAATTTTCCATTGGTGGATTAGCTAGCAACTTTTTAGTTTAGTAATTGAGAAGGGAAACCCAACTTGATGGTTTGGCCAACTTATGATTGTCAACTACCTAATCACTTAGACCATCTCCAAAGGGAGGTAGCAAGCGTGGTTAGCTAATGTGTCCTTTGCTAACCCATATGCAGAATTGCTACCTGCATTTGCTACTTTTGAGATTTGGCACTCACTCCAATGGAAGTAGCAAACTTTATTATCTTAATATAAGTAATGGGAAATTACTGTAGAGACTTGAGAATGGATGCCATGAGCCCCATGGATATCATTATTTTTTATAATCAAAATGATCTGTTTGTTATGTGAGATTCAACATGACAACGTTGCTGTATTTTGTTATGTCTGTTGGAGTGGGTTCCTGCCCATGTGGCACAGCAATTTGCATTTGCTGTCTCCTTTGGAGATGGTCTTAGTTTGGTTCCATCATAGTTTTGACTTTTTTTTTTAATAATAATTTTCTAGTTTGGATTACTTTCCTAGTTAAGACTAAAATGTTTGGTTAATTCACTTCTACCCCATTGTTGCTAGTGCCATCTCTCCTTTGATGAGTTAATTCTCCCACTTGTTGTGGCTAAGATCATGCATAAAGCATGTTCCTGGTTAGAGATAGAATTGATCTCTAGCTGAGAACATGTCCTCCTTTACATGTCTATTATTGGGCCTGAAGTAATTAAGCCTTGCATTGAAGCAAAATTCAATCATCTAGTATCTAGGTTCATTTCATATTAGTAATTTGACACGGTTCTTGGCAACAACCCCCTATGATTTATGGATCATAATTTTGACCAATGATGACCTCTAAGATTGTTGGTTTGATTTGAAATGGTAGACATGAAAGAGGAAATCGATCTCCGTTTAAAATACTTGGTAGATTTAAATGTAAGATATTGTTTCAAAAAGCTAAAATGGTGGAGTAGAAATTTTGTTGGTATTTGGAGACCCAAATATTGCATTGTTGATCATTTAATAGGAAACTACGGATGGAATGGGAAAGCATGCAAGTTTCAAAACTTCTATGAGTTCTCTTTATTAAGCTAGGTTTATCTGATGCCAAAATACCCCCTTCCTCCCCATGAAAAGGAGACCAGTACAAGTTCTGAAACTCAGCACAACTCCCAATGAAATTGATTATCGAATCAGCCTTCCTTGGTGCTGACTTTAGGGGATGATTAATACACTAGGGTTTTTAGATATGATTGGGTAAATGTATGTAGTCTGGTACAATTCTTCATGTGGGTTATGAAACTTCAAAGAATGGAGAATCAGCCCAAGTACCCTATCTCTGGTTGTCAAACAGGCTTGCACTACCAGCACTTTTGAGCTTCAGCTTCCCTTCATGAGGAAAATTCCACTTGATAAGTCTTACATGTCTGGTTTTACTCAGAACTTTGATTTTGAAGGCACATTTTTGGATGACTCTAACAGTGCTAGGAATGTCACAGTTCTCATTCTCGAAAACACCTTTATTTCGTAATTTCCAAATATGCCATACAGTGACACAAATGGAGATATTCCAAGGAATTTAGTCTTGTTACAAGGATTTCTTAAGATTTTCCATGTCCAATATTTCCAATGCTTTGTTAGCTCAATATCTTAAGAGGTGACTGATGTCCTCCTCATATAAGTTATGTAGGTCAGAGAGAATTAGAAGATAGAGCTCTGCAATCCTTTGTTTATTAGTCATTGTTTCACCATGAAGAATGATCCAAGTGAAGCCTTTCAAGTTTCATGGGGAATTGCAGTTTCCAAAGCCATCTCTAATCTTTGTTGCTTTCAGATTCCTTCGCAAGCAGATTATAAGTGGATCTAGTATGAAATTTACCACTGTTATTTTCCAGTCCAGCTAGGAGTATCAGGTTAGCTAGTAAATTTAGCTAAATGAATGCTCCTGATGCTATCCAATTCAGGTGATATTCAAAGCATTAACAATATTAGAAAGCCCCAGTCTCCTTGGATTGGTTATCAGTCTCCTTCTCAGGGTGGAAGTAAACAAGATAACTGTTACCATGCCATCAATGGAGATAACTGTCTCCTTTTGGAAAGCCCTTTTGGAAAGCCCTTTATGGATATTGTGATTACTCAACAGTTTAATCTAGAGGGAGCTTTTTTCAGAATGAATTCTCTGTCCCAGTTTGTATAGTTGGTCCAGGTGATTACTAACTTTAGCTTTTTCTTAAACCCAGAACTCCTCTCTTGCTTTTCAACATGACAAATCATGCTTACAACTGATCAGAACTGTTGGTTGATAGCCTTTGTTAATGTGAAATCTTTGCAGCAATAACAGTTGAGATACTCACGGTTCAATAGTTTTTTCTCCCCCTGTAGTTATTTGATGCAAGTTGCCTCTCTCTCTCTCATGCATACGGACATGCAAATGCATACATGCATGAATTGTTGCCTTTTAGTTATTGTGGCATGGTTCTGGTCCCCTTGATGCTTGCTTACCATTTCAGATTAAGCATGACCTTGCTGATGCTGACTACAAAAGATAGTTTCTAAACTTTTACATCTATGATGATTTTCAAAGAATCCTGTTTTAGTTCTTGAGCATTTTGTTGTCACTTCTTGTCAGATTGAACTTTATTTTTTCTATGACAATTTTTCACTTTGTGTGCATGTGCAGTGTGGATGGTGGAAGACCAAGTAGTGCAAGTATCTTTGTTGGTGGCTTTGTCTTGGGTGGAATTGTTGTTGGAGCACTAGGTTGTATATATGCACCCCAGGTATGTGTGTATTCCTGAACTGTTGTCTATCCATTAGAATTGGATTTATTTGGTCAAATCTCTGGATTGTTTGATATGTGGTACTTCAAATTTGATTGGATAACATAGTTGCTGTGAGGTTCATTTGCCTTACAGATCAGCAAGGCACTGGCAGGAGCAGACAGGAAAGATTTGATGAAAAAGCTGTCAAAATTCATATGTGATGAAGAGAAAGCCTTGGAGGTGAGATCTTTCTCTTGCATTTTGGCTTCCATTAATGGTTCGTAAAAAAATGTCTTGGTTATTTTTTTTTTTCCTTTTGTGGAGCTGACTTTCATAAATTTCTTGGTTCGTAAACACCTCAAGCTCTCTTTTTCTTAAACTCTGCCACCCTCCACCAACCTAATATGATGATGATGATGATGATGATGATGTTAATAAAACAGGAGTTAGAGAAGTAGAACCGTCCTCTCATTTTTTTTATTAATTAAAAAAATTATTATTATGCTTATTTAGTTTTCCATTCATCTATGGTCATCTATTTGTGGTTTACCCTTAATTTATCATATTTTTGGAAGCTTGATTGATATGATCAAGCAGCCCCAGAATCTGTATTCTTTATCACATAGAGTACATGACATATACGTTATTCATTAAATATTTAATTTAATAATTTTTTGTTTTCTATGATATGGTGTATTTTTTAATTTTTACTAGGGATCTTGTCATTGATTCATGTTGACAATATGAACTCTCATCCACTTTATATGATTTGATGAGAACAGAGAACACGCAAAATCCTGACTGAGAAGATCGCGCAGCTAAACTCTGCCATAGATGATGTCTCTTCACAGCTCCGTGCTGATGATACCCCAAATGGAACTGCTGTAAGCCCGGATGAACTTCAGGCTTCCATATGACAAATTGTTCAAAAGATATCCTGAAGTTGTTTATAGATGAGAAATGTTTGAAACAAATCCTTTAAATTTTCACTAGTAAACTAAGGGCTCAAGGTGGGGCCCTTATGTATTGTGTCGAATGTTAATGATTCAGTTAATTTGAATGATGCTTTAAAATTATAGGTTTATTATGGATTGAATGAATTATTAGGAATTACAGGTGTATTGTTTTCTTGCTTTGGTGACTAATTTATTAGTTGCGACATCCAAAATAATTTTTTTTTGCAAAAAATGACAATTGCCGACCAAGAGTTTTGGTCGCAAAAAATACATGTATTGCCAGCCAAAACAGCTCTTGGTCGTGGAATCTCACTTTTGCCGACCAAAAGTTTTGGTCGCGAAAAGACACAAATGGCGACCAATTTTTTTGGTCGCGAAATGTGATAATTGGCGACCAAAAAATTTGGTCGCGAAATGTAATAATTGGCGACCAAAATTTTTGGTCGCGAAATGTGACAATTGGCGACTAAGAAATTTGGTCGGGAAAATATCACTTTTCGCGACCGAAGTGTTTTGGCAACAAAATAAATTAGTCGCGGTAATTAAATATTTAGCGACCAAAAATTTAGTCGGCAAAATCCAACTTTTGCTGACCAACCACAATTTTGGTCGCGAATTACTTTTGCCGACCCTCAATTGGCGACTAAAGTAGCGACTAAAAAAATTGGTCGCGAATAACTTTTGCTGACCAAAAATAGACTTTTAGCGACCAATTTTTTTGTTGCCAAAAGTGTTAATTCTTGTAGTGGTGACAATTCTTTCAAATTTAGAATTCGAACTTAGCCATCATCATAAGGGCTTGTGAGACCCGCACTATAGATCTTGTTTAGATTATTCAAACCGTTTATTTTGTAAGGTTTACTGTGCATATAATTCCTGGAAAAATTAAGTTAATGCAATAATCATAATATTTTTATTTTATCATATTTGACTTCAAAAAAATGGTTGGTCTATTTTCTAAAACAAACTTGTTCATTTTTTTTTTTGGATACAATGGAAATAGAACGGAAATGTTAGAATTATTGAATAGACTTAATTTTTTTAATAAATGATGTACACGGAAGGCTCTACAAAACGAATGCCTCAGATTATTGAAATAAAATCCGTGTTGAGTCCCATAAAACCTAACTTCAGAGTCAAGTTTAGATTTTGAACCTCACATAAACTCAATCCCGTAGATAAAACAATATAGATAATTATTTTTTTGTATACAAATACTGTTATCGCAAGAAAAACTAATATCATATAATAAAGACTAAGAAAAAACTTAAAATGGAAAAGATTAAGATATGAGTGTGTTTGATAAGTGGTTAAAATATTAAAAATGTGACATCAATTAAATACCACATAAATAATTATAGTTAAATATAATTATAGTTGTATGTGATGATATATTATTAAGTAAATAAATAATAATAAATATATAAATTTAATTCGGCATTGGATTATCAAATATGAGATTAATTAGAGATTATTATTTGGGGCCAAATTAACACAAATATGGAATTATAATACTAGTTGGACCAAATTAGAGTTAAAGATAGTAAATAAATAAATAAAAAAGTAAGAGTAAATAATAATAATAATAATAATAATAATAATAATAATAATAATAATAATAATAATAATAATAGTGGGTGTGGTAGTAAAATAAATAAATAATTTTTTATGAGTATACGATAAAGTATAATTTAATTAGAGATTAATTTGTTTATATAGTTATATTAGGAATCTGGGCCAAAATATAATTATCTTAAATATTTATTAAGATAACTATAAATCTATGAACAAATCAAGGGAGTTATGAACAAATTTGTGAGATGATTCGAATCGGCCACGTGTTGGCCTGCTAGTGGTCTTATCTGCCTATAAATAGGGAGGAATGGATCAATCTGTAGAAAAGAAAGTAAGGAAAAATGAAAAAAAAAACGAGACAGAGGCACGTAAGTACTGAAAGTAAGAAACTTATAGTAGGAAGGTTGTGATACTGGAGTAAGGCTAAGGGTCAATATTAAGGTGAGTTATATTATACATTGAGTTATCATAATATATTTTACGTATGTTTTGACTTACCATAATTTATTTTATACAAGTTATATTTTATAAGTTATATTAATTCAAGTTATGTTTTAGAAATATTTCAGTTACATGGATTAATTTCTAAACTCTATTTGTTTAAATGAAACCCATAGATATGTTTGTTTAAATTTTAAAGAATATTTGACTATAACCTTATAAACAATTATGTTTTGTAAGTACTACCACGGGAGTCCCACGCCTTGGGGTACTTAAATAACTATTGGCCTCTGTTTGGCCACTTCGTAATCCTCTGTTTGTCATGGATCCATTAACCTCTGTTCTGATTGTCACTTCTGTGACCTCCGTTCTGTTCTGTTCTGTACCGTGTTTATGGTTATTTATTTACATAATTTATGTATTTCAGTTTCTGCCACTTAAATGATTTATTTACCAAATCGAGTTATGTAAATATTTTGGCTTAACTAACTATCCATGGTTATTTTGTATTTCGTATACTCTTGGCATAATATTTCTCACTCTGCTGTGTGCTTATAGCTGTTACGCTTTCAGGTGACGAGATGTAGGGGAAACTCATAACCCCACGAAATAGAACCCACATGTGGATTGATGTTGAACCACTTTTTTTTTCCTTCTTTTTTTTTTATTTTATATTTTTGTTCCCTTTTTGTTCTACTCGAGGTTGGTCACTGAATAATAAAATAATAAAAACCCTATAAATGTATTTTCTTTTATTAAAATGGTAAAATTGAGTAATTTCCTGTTTAATTATTTTTCTTTCTGCTTGCGTAGTTTAATTTGCTTCAAATAGAATAAGTTAGTAAGTTGCGATTCTAACCCTAAGCTCCTGGGGTTGGGCCGTAACAAAAAAAATATAAAAAATTAACTATATATGCTAATTAAAAAGTGTAAAAGCTATAAAAAACAAAATTAAAGATTCTCTTACATTTTCTATAGTTTAATGGCTAAAATATATATTTTTTATTCTGTTTTATTTAATAAAAGTAGGTAAATGATCTAAATTGAAAACAAATTAAAATATTAAGATTTAAATTAATAAAATAAAAAATTAAGATTTTATTTTATTTATTTATTTAAACCAATAAAAAGTAGGGGGAATTACACAGTATTGGGAATCAGTAAAAATATTTACAAAAAAAAAATACAAATATTAATAATTAAAATTGTAAATTTATTCACCTTTTTATAAATTTTTTTTTTTGATATGTGTAATTCTACCTAAAAATGTGGACAAATAATTTCTAAGTTGATCAAAGTGCAAGTAGATGCACGTTTGAAGTTGATAGGGTGGTTGCTATAGCAAAGACCAACAAATGAGATAAGGGCAAAGATGGCAAACACACTCTAGAAAGAATACCCACCAAGCTCGTCTCTTCTTTTAATATTCTTTAATTATTCGACACAAAATTATAGATTATATTTTCTTCATCAATCACAACATTTTGAGACAACACGTAAACATACTTCAAGTGACCGTACTCTAAAAATACCTAATAACCACTCCTTTCGATTCCATTGGATATAACTCTATCACTCTCTATTAATTCATCTCCATGTGTTGGGATAAAATTATTCAAATTGTTAACAAATAGAGAAAACAAAGAATAATATAGTAAATCAGTGATATGTTTTTCAAAATTATTAAAATTATGGAATATTAAAAATTAATTGTAAAAAGAAGGAACGAGCAGTACAATATTTTGTTAGTTTAGTGACACTTAAAAGTGCCACTGAACTACTCTTTCAACGACATTTTTAGTTTTGTGGCGTTTTGAACACGTGTTATTTATACCCGTGTCACAGTAGATACTAGTGCCACGGTAAGAACTTACAAGTAACACTACACCATCATGATTAAAAACTTTTAATGACATTTTAATGTCATGATAGATACTATTTGTGACACTATCAAGCGCCATTAAAAAAGACTTAGTGGCACTTCAGTGACACTTCTAAGTGCTATTACACCATCAAGGCTACACACTTTCAATGACACTTTAATGCCATGGTAGACACTATTTGTGACGCTATTAAGTGCCATTAAAAATGACTTGCAATCTAAAAAATGCCACTATATGAATTTTTAATGACTCTTGTTATCTTACAATTGATATTTATAACAACTTCATAAATGCCACTAAATTCAATTCATTTGTGCTATTAAATGGATATAAGTGACATTGGAACTTATTTTAGTGACATTCTGCAAAGCTACTATTACTACTATAAAATGCCACTTATATGTTCTTTTCATTGATATTTTTAAAAGCGACAACTAAGCATGCGTAAATGCCTATAAAAATCGAATCGATTTTATAAGCAATTGAATATTAATTGCCACATCCTATATTAATTTGACATCCATTCATCCTGTAATATTTTCATAATAATGAACAAATATTACTACCATACGATTATCACATCAAAAATAAATAAATAAAAAAAATCAAACTACAATCAATTATTTATTATTGAAATATAAATTTATTTATATTGCAATAAAAATCCCTTACCAAAATTATAAAATATTCTATCACATTAACAAAGTGAAAGCAAAAAAAAAAAAATTAAAAAAAAAATTTAAAAGAAAATAATTTCAACCATAATTTCTGAAAAGCCATAGTCATATCCATCTTCCGGAGAGACAAATTATCTAAACAAAATCAGTTTCCAAATTCTCAACCTCACTTGTATAAATATTCTCAGCTAGCATCCATAACTTGCGAAGTCTACATCCAAAAGATAATTTATAAAGGTAATTGAAACTATATTAGTTAATATAAATTTGTTAATGAAATTAGTATTTACGAAAGAAATATACCACAAATGGAGCAGGTCAAGCAACATGAGCTCCAATAGCTTGTCCAACTATTTTGACAGGTCCATATGATCGGATCAAGCTCTCATTAGGTTTGACTGGCACTTGAACATGTACCTTCCAATAGTCAGGTCCTAGTTCTTTCTCTTCTACTTCTTTAGATGCATCTGTGCTTTTAAGTACTCCGATTGCAATTGTTTCTGTTGGCCTAAAGATACTTTTTAGAACAACTATAACTCCCACC